ACATCTATACATTTGTTGCCCTCATTATTCCCAAAATTCGCTTTCCTCTTGGGTTCCCGGAATCAGCTCATTTTCCTTTTCCCCCCTTTCCCTCCCTTCCTCCTCCCCCCTCATTTCATTTATTTTAAAAAATTTTACTAGGGGCTTGTACAACTCTTATCACAATCCATCCATCCATCCATTGTGGGAAGCACTTTGTACATTTGTTGCCATCATCATTCTCAAAATATTTTCTTTCTACTTGAGCCTTGATATCAGCTCCTCGTTTTTCCCCCTGCCTTCCAGCTACCCCCTCCCTCATGAACCCTTGATCATTTATATATTATTATTATTTTGTCATGTCTTACACTGTCCGGCGTCTCCCTTCACCCACTTTTCTGTTGTCCATCCCCCACAGAGGAGGTGGTTTCATTACCAGCATAGTAAACAATATGATTTTCTGATTCAAAATGGTCAATGCAAGTCAATTTAAGCTTATTAACACCTAGAATATCAATCTGTATGCACTCCGGTTCATTTTGAACAACTTCTAATTTTCCTAGATTTATACTTCATACATTCCAAGTTACAATTATTAGTTGATGTCTGCATCTGTTTCTTCTCATTTTGAGTCCTGCCTCTTTAGCAAGTGAACATGCCAAAGGCTTAATCCCACAGGCTTTCCTCCATCCAGTTCCTTATGGTCAACTCTGCGTGGAGAAGGCAGCTCTCGTTCAACCATATGTTGAGTGCCTTCTGACCTGAGAGACACATCTTCTGGTACTATCTCTGACAACATCTGGCTTCTGTTCATTGGGTTTTCAGTGACTGACAATGTTTCGATGCTGTTCACAGGCTTTTCCACTGAAGTGGACCGCCTGCTCTTTGTTCATAGTCTGTTCTTACTCTGGAAGCTCTACTGAAACCTGTTCCCTTTGAGTGACCATGCCAAGTACTTGAAGTACCAGTGACATAGCGTTCAGCATCTCAACAACACACAAGCCACCACAGTAGGGCAAACTGACAGACAAGTAGTGGGGTGTTAGTCCACTATCCTGTTTCCCCCAAAATAAGACAGTGTCTTATGTTAATTTTTGCTCCCAAAGATGCGCTAGGTCTTATTTTCAGGGGATGTCTTATTTTTCCATGAAGAAGAATACGGTACACATTTATTGTTGAACCAAAAAAAGGAAATTTATTACCTGTATACGGTACGGTAGTAGTTGTCATCACAATTCAGCATAAACAGACAAACTGAATCCTACAGTATCAAGAATTTCTTGTTACTACCATTATTTCCATGTACAACAATCTGTGGTACACTTACTCATTTATTCATTGACAGTCATGTCATCATCTTCTGGAACATCATCATCACAATCCAAACCCTTATTTTCGGGGAGGTCTTATTTTCAGGGGAATGCCTTATATTTCAGCGAGAGGCAAAACCGTAAGTAGGTCTTATTTTAGGGGGATGTCTTACTTTCGGTGAAACAGTGTACTTATTAACATTTGCCCAGCTTCTCTGAGGCTTGACATCACCATCATTATCAGTGAGGCATTGATTTTCTATAAGGAGTGAGCATGTTTCATTGTGTCCTGGGAGTGGTAGTGAACAATGGGGACACAGGTGTATATGTGATTATTTTTATATCACCTATACACACATACACTTTTTCTAGAGGATGAACTATCTTTTTTTTTTTTTTTTTGAGGATGAACTATCTTAGACGCATGAGTCCTATGCAGTAAATATGTGAGGCGAGACCCTGGCTTCTTCCAGTTTGTATGTACTGTATTGTCTCTATTCCCTGCTATTTGGCTACATATAAAAATGTACATACAGACTATGGACTCCAGGGAATTTGAGATCAAGAGGCAAAGAGTACAGACGCTGGCTCCAGATTGTTACCGTTAGTCGCCATTAATTCCAACTCCTTGCCACCCCATATGTGCAGTGTCGGACTGCTCCATAGAGTGTTCAAAGCTGTGGCTCATGAAAATTAGGCAGTGACTTACATCCAACCGAGCAAGACAAACTCTTCTAGCAAGTTGTTCATTTCCTTAGATGTAAAGGGTCGGATTTGAGAATTGTTGGGTGAAGTGTGTGATCCATTTAGCCCATGGGTGGGGAGCCTTTTTTCTGCCAAGGGCCATTTGGATGTTTATAACATCTTTCATGAGCCATACTGGTTAAACATTTAATTAACTCACCCCGAAGGTGATGGCATGAACAGCTTCCGTTTGGTGAGGCGTGTGCTGGTAGCTGGTATTGATGTCTCGGGCCTTACACAGCCCACAGGCTGGATGTTCCCATACCTCTGATTTAACCCAAGTAGACTGTCTAGTGGCGATACCAGGAGGGAAAGGGGGTGAAGAAAGGGG